CACTTGACTCTCTTGGTTGTCCTTCAAGTGACCTCAGCCCACTGGTCCATCTTTATTGTCTACTAGCGAGACAGTCTGGCTAATAAATCCTCCCTGAACTTGACTTCTACTTTATTGCTTCTCTCAGAACTGAATGCTCCCTCCTCCCCTCACTTTTCCAACTACTGAAATTCTACATATACTTCAAGGCTTATTGAAGATGCCACCTCCTTCATGAAGCCTACCATATTGGCCTTAGCTAAAATTAATCTCTGCCTCTTTAATTTACAATAGTGATTTTATAGTTCCCTCAGCATTTATTCATTACTTCTCCCAGTAGTCACAGGTACACATCTGATTTTCATGCTATCTTGTAAAACATTAGGTCAGGAGGTTGACCTATGTAATTTCTAAACTCTCTTGAAGTAATTCTGTAACTTCTGTATTCTATAACTAATATGATTTGTTTACAGGCTTAGGCTGCAGATAAAGACACATCTTTTTATTTTTAAAATGAATATCTTAATATCGCTTATTCCTTATTTTTTTTCCAACTTTGAGTTGTAATCAACATATAACATTGTGTAAGTTTAAGGTGTACACCATATTGATTTGATACACTTACATATTACAAAATGATTACTAACCTAGCATTATCTAACACCTTTACCACCTCACATAATGCCTATATCTTTTGTTGTGGTGACAGCATTTGATATTTACTCTCCTAGCAGACTTGTTGTTACTTATATTCACTATGCTGTACATTAGATCCCTTATTGTAAAGAGTTTAGCATATCTTTTTTCCTTGAGATTTCCCCTCTTCCTGAACTACAGAGTAACTCTAAGGAGGCATTGTCCAAAAGAACTTTCTGCCATGATCATATCGTGTGGTCACTGAGCACTTGAAATGGGCTAGTGCAAATGAAGAACTGAACTTTTAATATTATTTAATTTTAATTAATTTAGATTCAAATTTAAATAGCCATATGTGGCTAGTGGCTACCATGCTGGATTGCACACACCTCTAAGAGCTTGCACTGTCCAGGAAGAATTTTTGCTCCAACCTCTGCAACCAAGTGGAATATCGCTGGGTCTAGTAATCACAATAGCTGCTTCTTCTCATCACCAAATGATGTTCTTACGGAAGTTCATCACAGCACTGCCTGCTCATAATTGCTGGTCCCTTGTTGCTGGGGAGGTGATTGAACCCTGCTTTTCATACTGCAAACCTTTGGGGATATGGTATCATTCTCTTGAGCCACACTGCCTGTACTTGGACTCCAAGGCTAGAAGTCTTCTTATTTGTGTTTCCATGCAAAACTACCATCCAGGTCTCCTGCAGCAACCAAGAGTCAAGGTCACAGGTGATTCTGTTGTTCATCATCTCATGGACCCAGAATCACTGACCCCTTGTCTGTTTAGGTATCCATCTCTAGGAGTCAGGTGGCTTTTGAGCTCTCAAAAGCACAAAAGATTGCCTTTGGATTCCTCCAAAAATAGACCCTTAGACAAGGATACAACTGGAAGTAGTTTATTTAGGAGGTGATTTAGGAAGTATCAGCAGGGAGTTTAGACATAAAATAGGGAGGCAAGGGAAGCTGGTAAAGGATAAGATATCAAACCACCGGACAACTCAAGCTCAACCGTCCTGGGGGACCTCTAGGATGCAGTGTAGAACAGGCTTTAGAGTTATCCCAGCTAAGAGGCAAATAAGATGGTATCTATCCACCAAATCCCCATAGGTTATTGGTTGAGGGCTTCTGCTGGAGGTGTTAACTCTCTAGCACTCACAGTCTGCTCCACGTGTGCTCCTGCTGCAAGAGGAAAGCCCTTACAGAGTTACTGGCATTTGAGTAAGAAGTCACTGGTGCATAGACGCAACAGAGGCACATAGGGTCCTGGACAATGGGGCACTCATACTTCCTCTTGTAAGATTGGCTACTTTAACTAGTTCTGGGGTGCTCACACCTCCACTTTTAGAATTACCACCGAGAAGTTTGTCACAAGACAAGTAGAATTTGCTACAATTGTAAAATCTGGGGCAGGGAGCATCATCTCTGGTAAGCTACCCCATTTCAAGTTGCTTTGTCTGTTAGGTAATATACTGACCATCCAATGTACTAAGAACATCAAATAAAACTTTTATGTTGTCTGAAATGCACAACAAAAATTAAATTGAAACCACCTCCACTGGTTCTAACAGTAGCACCAACTTTGCATAAAAGAAAGGGGTTTATAATTTGAAGATATCTTAAATTTTTAGACTTTAAATGTACATATTTTTATAAGTGCTTGCCTTCTCCACTTATAGTAGGAATGGGAAGTATTATGTTGGCATAAAGTGAATAGGATATATGAGTTCCCATATGCACAAAGTGAAAAAACATTGTTTTGAAAGGTAACAGAATTGAACAATGGAATTTGTTCTTAAATATAGCAAGATGAAATTTAGTGATGTGGGAGCCGCTGTAGAGGTGAACTCGGTGTTCCTGCATGGTAAAAGCATTTGGCCTGGACTAAAATACATCATTTTAGAAAGCTCATTGGTAACTATCTCCTCTCACTACTTCCTGAGGCCTGAAATAGAAAGATTTTTTTGACTTTACATTTAATCACAAACTTAATTTGGTCTATATGCCAAGATTTACAATCTCACCAGATATGCAGGATATCAATAACAGAGGAGCTACCAGGCAGTGTGCTGCTTTGTACTGAATATTCGGTGTGCGATATGAAGATTTATCTTGTAAATATCACTGGTTATAGCCTTGCAAATTCAGAGATACATCATCTACAGTTCAGCTTTGAATACAGAGTAAATGAAGGAAGAATGGATTTTTTTAAATGAAAAGACCAAAAAGGGTGATTAATATTTCATAGTATTAATTAACATTTCCACTGCACACTGATTTTTAATATTATTTGGGGTGTAAGGTGTGATTAATACTTTCATAGTCAAATCAGATAATCTGGTCATAAACCTAAATGTTTAAAGGTAATGTGAACACATCTTGTGTGGCTTGAGAAATTAGTCATTAAATTCTTCAATTAGCTTTGTGCTCATTCTGGAGAAATTGCATTATATAAGTGAGTCAGATTGTAAACTTTTAGAATACGAATCAAGTTATTAAGCAGGTTAGGTTGGAGCCCACTGGTGAGAGATGTATGAATTGCTGAATTGGGGGGAAAAGAGGAAACCTGCATCAAGGAGCATGTAACAAACCAAGCTTCCCAGTATATTAACAAGCATTATAGAATTTAACAGATCGCCTAGCACAGTAGATTGGTCAGTGCTTCTGTGCTAGTAAACACCTGCATCTCGAAGCCAGTCAGAATTACTTCTGCGAACTCACCAGCTGACCCAGCAGAGGTGAACCATGTACACCAGATAGGCCTAGGGAAATTGTCTAGAACCATCTAGCCTGTGATTGTGACTCACTTTCCCTTTGGCCTCATCTTTCTTTCTATCCTAAGGCACTTGGCTCCAAGACTCTCAACATTTACCCCTGATCTCTGTGATTCAGCTCTCTTTCTTCTTTTACCTTCATTGTTCCTGTGGCTCTCCCTGTTTCAGCTAAAATCTCGCTGCTTCATTCTCTAATCTTCAGCTGAAAGTCAGCCCCTAACCTTCTTGGGGTTGAGGTAGGTTTTGAGGGGAAAAAAGGAAGAAGGGATTCAGATAATCAACTCCTGGTGGGTGACTAGAGCTTCAGGTTCTACACTTGCTACAGAGTGTACTAGGATCAATAAAGTAAAAAGAGCGCCAGTCTGGGAGCCTCAGAGAGGTGGCCAAGAGCAAGAGACCCAGCACTAATTTACAGGCAGAGATTGAATTTTGTATAAATTAGAGTATGCTAGATTGTGCTGTAATAACACTTACCCCCAAATCAGTGTTTTAACAAAATGAAAGTTTACTTCTTATACAAAGTATAAGTGTGGTATGGTGTGATAATCTGCTCCACACAATCACTTAGGGATCCGAGCCAACCAAGGCACTGCTATTTTAGTATCTGCATCATCTGGGTCATGTAGACTATACTCAACAGCAGGAGAAATGAGACTGGAAAATATGGCATGGGCTTTTCACTGCTTCAGTGCAAAAGTGATACATGTCACTTCTAGTCACATTTTACTATCTAGAGCTAGTCAGATGGTCTTGTAACTTTAAGCGGGTCAGGAAATGTAGGAGAGCTAGTATAATATTTGGTGAGAATTTTTTCTCTACCGTAAGATCCATGGGCAATGATCCCATCAGGAGTGGGGCAGGGGTGCTGCTACTGACGTGCAGACCAGAAGTTTGCAGAAATAGATACAAGGGAATCCATCCAAAAAAGAGGTGAAGGAAGGCAAGAGGAGAGCCTGGTTTGACAGGAAGGAGTTCCATGGAGCCCTCAGCTAGCTGAATTCTCATTCTGACCACTAAGAAGGTCTGGGGCGGGGACTGACATGTAGTATTTGAAAGTTACTTTGAAAGATGATTGTTCCACATTGTTATGAAAGGGGTTTAATAAATGACTCTTGAATGTATTAAGAATTCATGTGCCTTTAAAAACCATGTGCATTCTTGTGTAATGTTTTGAACCAGTCATGCATCATCTCAGAAGGAAATGTGCTATCTTCTGGGTATCACCTGTTTGGAAGAGTTACCTATTCTTTTGAGTCATATACTTCATGTTCAAAAAAGAACTTGTTTTTGATAAATTACTGCTACTGTTTATTATATTAGTAATAATGGCATGATCTCACATAAGCTCTTTATAACCCTAGAAGATTATTACTATTAGCTACCTAGCTTTACACATGAAAATACCGACTTTCAGAGATGTTAAAGTCATACACCTAGTAAGTGGCAGAGCTGGGATTCAAATCTAGGCTTCATCTAAATCCTTTGTCTCATATCTGACGGCTAGAATTAAATACAATATAATGTGTCTGGCATTCACTGGGAGCTCAATAATGTTGACTTTCTTGCTTTTCTTTTTTCTTTTTGTTCCTCTCTCCCATCCCTGGGATGCCAGCCAAATAATTCACCTGTTGGGGATTCCTCTGGGGAGCCAGAAAACCACTTACACAATGATTTCTGCAACTGAGCCTGTGATGGGAGAGAGAGCTGGTGGTGTGGAGGACTGGACACACACTCTTGCGAGCACTGCTGCTGCCTGTCTGTCCCCTCTGGGGCTTGGAGAGGTGGGTGAAGGAGGGGACCAGAAAGAGTCTTGTGCTTATTTACCGCCTCAAAAATAAGAATAAGAGCAATAGCCCTCACCCCTTCCTTCTTCCCTTTTGCAATATTTCTGGCTATAGTGCAGTTTCACTTATTTGTTTACACCTAGAAAAAGTGATTAACTTGGTAATATAAACATTTCTCCTACCAATTCCCAGCCCTTCTCAAAAATGAAGTCACTTTAACTGTCATTCTTAAAATTCCGTGGCTTCATCGACCAGATTCTGGGTTCCTCCTATTCTGAGAGCCAGGTATCCTATGGCAATGAGTTTAAAGATGGAAGGATATAGTTCCACATTTTGAAAACAAGACTTTCTGTGTTTTTTAAAATTTAGAGAAAAATAGGCAATGCCTCTTTACAGCATACAGCGTGGGACCCAGGGGTATTTTTTGAATTTCGGTTTGTAGAATAAACGGGATGACTGCCAGGGAAAATGTAATCTGGGACATAGTTCTCAGTGCCTCCATAGTGAACTACTTTGAAACTCCAGGCTGATACTTGGTATGAGTTTTAGGGTCTCAAAAGGTATTTTGAGTCTTCATGCATGGGAAGCTTGATGCTTTGTCTTCATCTAGTTTCCACTTAAAAAAAAAATAGTGAACTCTGAGGATGAGTTAGAGTTTCTCTGTAATCAAATATGAAGAGAGTATCTTAAATCAAGATGTCAAGACTTTGACCATAGGATACTAAGTCACCAAAGGGAGGATCTCCCAGGGTTCTCAAGGATTAGAAAATCATTCCCCTCCATCTACTTTGCATGAAACAGGGTGGAGGATCAGTGTAGAAAGTATGCAGCTCTTTGGGGGAATATGCTACTGTCTTGAATAGCTAATCTGATAAACTGGCAGAAGACCACAGGGAGCTTGTTATGAAGAAATTGAGGAAGAATAATTGAACTCCGTAGGAATTAATTCATCCATCAAATTTCCTTTTAGCTCTAAAGAAATATCTTCTTCCTTTGAACACTTATGCTCCTATTGTCAAAGCCATTCACTTGGCAGTGGCACTTGTCTCATTCTGTTTGTATCATGAGTGAATTTAATTCAGTAACTATTTACTGAGCTTCTATCATGTGAAGGTTATAAGCTTTAAAAAAGAAATAAAATAATATCTAAGCACTCAGTGAGTTTATAGTTTAGACTATAAATTATATGAATGGCAAATAGGTTTCAACTTAAATGTCTACCTCTATCAATTGATGTTGGTTGCTTGGATTACTGACAAGGATTATGGAGTCTGATCTACATTCAGTAGAACAGAGTGCTATAATTAGTAATGTCTGCCACTTATTTAGGAATGGAGAATGGTAGGTAGCATGGGTGCTACATATTCACAACCCCCAACTTGCAAAACTAATTCAAAGTCTAGATAGTAGAAGAAGCTTATATTTAGTAGAATCTAATCAATCAATACTTTACTTTAATCAAATTTTCTTGATACAAAGAATGTAGCAAATATATAAATTATATGAAATAATTATACATTAATCTACTTGGTCTGCCATAGAAAAGTACCATAGGGTACTCTAACAACAGAAACTAATTTTCACACAGTTCTAGAGGTTAGAAGTCCAAGATGAAGGTTCTGGCCAGTTCAGTTCTTGTGATGACTCTCTGGCTTACAAACAACTACATTCTGTATGCACATGACCTTTCTGTGTTCTTGAGGACAGAGGAGAGAGCGTAATTAGGCCCCATGGGATTAGGGCCCCAGGCTTATAACCTCATTTAACCTTAATTACTTTCTTAGAGGACACTTCAATCCATACATAAGAATATGATATAAATAAGAAACAATAATATATCTCCTATTTGGAGAAGGGGAAGTCATAGTAGTTATAGATCTAGGCGTTTTTTTTATCATTTTAAAAGAAACAAAACATTAAAATCAAATTCTTAATGTTTGTTACAGTAGCTGCATTTATTAGCTTAAACACATCTGATTTTATAGGTTGTTCATTGTGATTCAAGTAATCTACATAATTTATTTAAAAAATTATATCAAAGAAGACAATAGTTCAAAGTAACAGATGGTAAATGGGTTTGCAAGTGCACATTTAACAAAAAATCATGTACTTTTCTAAATCTTAGTGACACCTTAAAATAACAGCTAGCCATCAAAAAGATACTAGTCACCAAATGATGTTAACTGCAAATTTTTTGCTTTAGAACATACCCCATTCCTCTACCTACCAACATGCCTCATTATTGTATTGGTGTGTGCTTAATAGACTGAAAATATCACATTTGTTTTAATGGCTATCTCCATTACACTGGAATTTTTTAAATGTTATTTCTTAAGGTAACATTTGCTCTCATTGATATTTAAATCTGGATCTGGGCTACTTTTTGTTGTGTGTGAGGTTTTTTTTAATCCCCCCCACCACCCAGATTCATTTATTGAAGTAATAAGATAATAGAACTAGCTATTATCCCTAGAAAAATAGAAAGTATACCAATGTTTTGATTTCGACTCCATCCAGCTCTTGCTTATCTCTCCACCCTCCAGGGATTTATATTTCAAAGTAAAATAAATTTAAATAACATTTATTCTTTATTATTAAAGTAAAAGCCAACCTGGGTTTTAAGATAACTCTTAGCTTCAAATGAGTCGCAATGCCTTGTCATTTCTCTTTTGTCCTGACATGACCAAACTGTAAAAGACCCACACTGATAACAAAATGGATTCTCTTGATTTTAATCACAAACAGAACCTTCATAAAATGTTTAATGAATTCTTGGTTAAGGTCTAGAAAATTATAGGGAACTTTTTGTTTATCCATATTTTTATCTCAAAATGACTTTCCCTTTAATTATTAACATGGGAAAGCTGCAGTGGTTGACGGTGACACAGCAAAGTAGAACTGAGTAATGATTGAAAAGTACATGTGAAAAAGCTCTGGGAATTCTGTAAATAGGGAAGCATATCATTTTAAGAAGTTAGCATGGAAATAATCTTTTCATGCCTTTGAGACCTGATATAGTATAATAGATGAAATTATAATCTAATATGTTCTCTGATGTTTGTTATTATAGTATTTTTCCAATTAAAACACATTCATTATAGATCAGGAAAAAAATAAGAAATTGTACACAATTCCACCACTCAATAAATATTGATTGAATTTATATATTAATGCAGATATCTGTCATTAACATTTTAATGTACATTCTTTCTGTTTTCAAGATGGAAATTACATATATTAGAATGCTACATGTTTTTAATAATATATCATAAACATATCATTACATATTAAATTAAATATAATTAACCAATCCCCTATTGCTGAACATTTATGTTATTTGTAATTTTCTATTATTTCAAGTTATATTGCCATCATCTTATATAAATATTGTTGTACATAAATTTCTTGTCTTATGATAAATTATTAAAAGTGGAAGTCGTGGATTAAGGGCTATAAATTTTTTTATGGATCTCAATAAATATTGTTTTTCAGAAAGATGTACCATTTTATGTTCCTATTGGTAATTTGAAAGTGTCCCTTTCTCTATACCTTTGCCATCACAGAGTGTTACAATTTCTTATGCCAACTTGATAGACAAAAAATATGACATATTATGGTTATCCACTTACATACTTAGCTTTGAGCTTGGTTCAGAACATACAATAGAAGTATAGAAGAAAGGCTTGTCAGTCTGTCTTAGTGCTCTAAAGACTAATTTTAGATTGAAACCTTTTCATTAATCCATTCAACAAATGTTTTCTGAGTGCCTCTTCAAAAATGGAAAGGAATTTAGAATGTAATATTTTATACTTGGCAAGTTAGTAATATTTTCAGTTGATGGCATATTAGCACCAAGATCTATGCCAGGATACTCTCTTGTATTATTTTAATAGTTCCCTTCCTTTCATCCTGATTCCCACTCCTTTTCCCTTTTTTTTTTCCCCATAAGCAGCCATTTTAGTGTGTTTAACATATATACTGGATATGCATGCTTTCTTGAAGAATATATAGTGTTTTGTGATTTTGAGTTTAAGTGGTTTTAGTTTACATAAACTTTATTCACAAATCTTACATTTTCTACTGCTAAACATTACGTGAAAAGATTAAACTCTATTCTTGTTGTTTTAAGGATGTTAGATTTTTGCTTCTAATTGCTGTATACCTGAGGTTCAAACAGATATCATTTGCTACCTAGGACCAAATGAACATTATGTGTTGTTATTTCTTGAATAAAGGAGAACATGATTAGTTATGTGATTACATATGTCTACAATGGATCTATACATTTCTGAGGGGGTTGCGAGAACTTTTAGGAAAGCTTAAAATGGTAGCACTCCCTTAGAACATCAACACTCCTGGGAAAAATAAGACTGCTCCTTCCATCCTGCACATATATCCAGTGGGGCATATGCAGCACACCATCGACTTCAGGTGGGGGTGGTTGGTGTCACATATTGTGGTGTGCCTCTCCGACCCTGCCATGGGGTACTGCAGCCAGGAATGCAACACGACCTCATGCTTTGTATCTTGAGCTTCATTTACAATGTCCGACACCTAGGAGCCACTCGAAATATAAATGTTGAATAGATAAATGAAAAAGAATCAATCAAAGATTAATCTTAGAGCAACAAGGTAAGGAGACAAGGATCTCCATTGCCCAAGAAGTGAGGGATTTCCAAAGAAGCAACTTGTAGGTCAGGGTACAGAATTCACTCATGTCTTATTCTCCTTTCCTTCCTGAGCATTTAGAATATGATACATCCTAGGTCTTTTGCAATTAGGTGAAACTGACTAGTTGAAGCTAATGAAATATGCATAAATTTGATATGTGTCATTTATATGTCCAGCTATGTAAGAGCCAATGTGCTACCTGTGAGCTTTCTTTTCCCTTCTCTAACAACACGGGAGGTCACATGTTCCAGATCGTACAGCTACAAGAAGGCAAAACATTAGATAGCCTTGTCACTATGAAGAGAGACACCATCCTCTTACTCTGCCAGTCCACAACGGGAAGAGGTTTGGAAGTGTTGGAGAGGGTATTACATGTTAAGTAATGTGTCTAGGGAAGCTCTTATGGACTGTAAGTTTAGACTTGAAAGCCTGAAGGTGAAGGAGTAAGGCATCTAGGACAGGAGTATTCTGAACAGAGGGAGCAGCAAGTGCAAAGGCCCTTAAGTGGGACTGAGTTAGGTGACTTAAAGGAAGCAGGACAAAGTCAGTATAGCTGAAGCAGAGTGAACAAAGGAGAAAGTAACAGGGATAAGACCAGATCACTGACTGGATTGGGGAAGAACAGATTGTGTAAGATTTTACAGGTTATTATAAGGACTTTGGCTTTCACTTCGAGTGACATGGGGGACATTGGAAAGTTTTGCAAATTGGAGTGACATGATCTGATTTACATTTGACCTATGTTGACCTAGAGTGGCAAAGGGAAGAGGCAGGGTGTGCAGCTAGGAGGCTACAAGCCATAATCCAGGCAAGGGATGATGATGATTTGGATTAGGGTGATAACAGTAGAAGTAGTACAAAGTCATCACATTCTGGGTATAGTTTGTAAGCAGAGCCAACAGAATTTCAGATGACTAGATGAGGGATATGAGAGAAAAAGTCAAGGATGACTCCATGGATTTTGACCTGTATGACTGGGAGAGTAAAATTGATATTTGCTGAGTCAGGGAAGACTGCAAGAAGAACAAGTTTGGGAAACTATCAGAAGTTCATATTTGAACAGGTTTGAGATGCACATTGGACATGCAAGTGTTGATAACGGATTTCACCAGGCTATATTGGCGAGGAGACTGGACTGGGGAGAATGTCAGGGATGATGACACTCTTTACCTAAGAGATGAAGGTCCAGGTTCTCTATGTGGAGACTCAAATGCCAAGGGCATTTGGGAGACTGTTTCATGATTTCTGTTGGACATTCTGGCCTGTAATTCGGTTTCCCAATTACTATGATTAAGGAGATTTTCTATGAAACTAATTATTGATTTAGCAGTAACTACAACTCCATATGAGAGCCATCCATTTGGCAGTTAAAAGGCCAGGATTCTACACTCTTTGTGTAGAAAATCACCTAAATGCACCATTCTCAAAACTTCTGCTTTCTTGGGTCTGGGATTCATTTTCAGATTTTCAGATCTCAGGGAT